TCAGCCATTTTTTTGTTGACTAATTACCAACCACCATATTTACTGCATCCTTTGGAAGAAAATCTACAGCAGCCAACCACCATTCTCTTAGCAACCAACCACCCAAATTAATTGAGACTTGTTGAAAATCTCATCTCCCAGTGGCTATAAATAGAGCTTTAGCTCATTTGTTTTGACACACCCAAGTGAGGAAAGCAATAGAGATAGTAGAGAGAGTTTGAGAGGTTTTTTGATAAGAGTTTGTAAATTCTCTTGTAAAATTCTATTCAAGTAAGAAATAGAATAGTTTTTCCTCTTATAACTCCTCTTTCGTGATCGGAGAATCACAACAAGTGGTATCAGAGCCAAAAATATTTTTCATATTGGTCCTTGTAGTTTTTGGTATTTACAGATTGGTCCTAGAACTTTCAAAATATCTCATTATTTTTGAATTTTTCTAGGAGTCGGTTTTTGACTAGGGAAGAGTCAAATCCACAAATTTCTATCGTTCCGAACGCAACGGTATACTCTGTTTTGCCAAACTCAAACCCAATTTTGATCAAGCCATTGTGAAGTCAAAATGTCAATGGAAGAATCATCAGGAGCTATGATCAAGCTCACTGCCACCAATTACACACTATGGAGGCCTCGGATGGAAGATCTTCTCAGTTGTAAAGATTTGTACGACCCCCTGGAAGCTAAAGGTGTGAACCCCGATCCTACTAAGGAGACTGAGTGGAAGAAGCTGAATAGAAAAACTATCGGCCAAATCCGACAATGGATTGATCATAGTGTCTTTCACCATGTGGCATAGGAGACAGACGCATATAACCTTTGGAAGACTCTGGAGGACATGTACCAAGCCAAGACTGCTCGAAACAAAGCCCTGTTGATGAGGCGTATGGTGAATCTGAAGTTAAAGAGTGGAACTTCAGTTGCTGAACACACCAGTGAATTCCAGAGCTTGGTGAACCAACTATCGTCTGTAGAGATGCCGCTCGGGGATGAAATGCAAGCACTTCTACTTCTGAGTTCTCTTCCTGACAGCTGGGAAACGCTAGTAGTATCTCTCAGCAACTCAGCTCCTAATGGCAAACTTACCATGTCTATGGTCAAGGATGCCCTATTTAATGAAGAAGCCAGGAGAAAGGACGTCGACAAGGATCAGTCACATGCCCTTGTCACAGAGAACCGAGGAAGACAGCAAGGAGGCAATCGAAGCAGGTGGAGAGGCAGAAGCAAAAGTAGAGGCAGATCCATAGATGGAAGAAAGCCTACTTATAAGTGCTACTATTGTGGTATGGAGGGCCACTTAAAGAAAAACTGTCGAAAATTGCTACGAGAGCAAGGCCAGAACAGTTCGCAGCCGAAAAATAAGGAAGGAGAGACACTAGTCACTATTTCTGGAGAGGTGGCTATTTGCTCCATTCATGAGGAGACATGTCTTCATGTTTCAAGCCAAGACACTGAGTGGGTGGTCGATACTGCAGCATCTTACCACGCCACTCCATGTAGAGACTTCTTCACAACATACAAAGCGGGCGACTTTGGTGTAGTGAAGATGGGAAATACCAGTTTCTCTGAGATCGTGGGAATTGGTGATGTTCAGATACAAACAAATGCCGGGTGCAAAGTAACCCTGAAGGATGTCCGACATGTGCCAGATCTTCGACTCAATCTTCTTTCCGGGATAGCCCTTGACAAACAGGGCTATGATAATCATTTTAGCAATGGCACATGGAAAATGAAGAAATGTTCTATGGTTGTCGCTCGAGGACATATTTGTGGCACTTTATATAAAACTCATGTGAAAATGTGTGCAGACAGTCTCAACATAGTGGAACGCGAGGCTTCTCAAAATTTGTGGCACCAGAGACTCGGTCACATGAGTGAGAAGGGGTTGTCTACTTTGACAAAGAAGGAGCTAATCACTGTTGCCAAGGAAGCTGCACTAGATCCTTGCAATCACTGTCTATTTGGTAAGCAACATAGAGTCTCTTTCAATTTCTCTTCGACAAGACGATCAGAGTTGCTTAGTCTGGTACACTCTGATGTTTGTGGTCCCTTGGAGGTTGAATCACTAGGTGGTAACAAGTATTTTCTGACATTCATTGATGATGCTTCTCGAAAAGTATGGGTGTACTTCTTGAAGACGAAGGACCAAGTATTGGATTACTTCAAACTGTTTCATGCCATGGTGGAGCGTGAAACAGGAAAGAAGCTGAAGTGTCTCCGTTCAGACAATGGAGGCGAGTACACTTCCAGAGAGTTTGATGCCTATTGCGGAAGCCACGGCATTCGACATGAGAAGACGGTCCCACGCACTCCACAACATAATGGAGTAGCAGAGAGAATGAATCGGACAATCATGGAAAAGGTCAGAAGCATGCTCAGTATGGTTAAGCTGCCAAAGCCATTCTGGGGAGAGGCTGTGCGAGTCGCCTGCTACTTAATCAACAGGTCACCATCAGTACCGTTGAATTTTGAAATTCCGGAGAAAGTATGGTCTGGGAAGAATCCTTCATACTCTCACCTGAGAGTATTCGGTTGTTTAGCCTTTGCACATGTATCTAAGGAGCTAAGACAGAAGCTCGATGCAAGGACTACTCCATGCATCTTTATAGGCTATGGAGATGAAGAATTTGGATACAGATTATGGGATCCAAAGACAAAGAAGGTCATCAGAAGCAGAGACGTGGTGTTCCATGAAAACCAAACAATAGAAGACATTGAAAATCCCACAATGTCTCCTAATCCTAAATCCAGTGCCCAGCATATTGCTCCAGATCCAGTACCAGTGCAATTCACCATAGATGATGATGACGTGAATGAGGAAATGCCAGAAGCAGAACATGAGGATGAAGAAGAGGGTATTGATCAGGGGGAGTCACAACCCTCTCCACCAGAAGTCGTCGGATCATCACATCAACCAGATGATGGTGCACCTCCTGAAACCAGTAATCCACAAGTGCGCAGATCTGAACGAGGACGGATTCCATCAACGAAATATTCAGAGTCTGAGTACATTCTACTCACTGATGAAGGAGAGCCAGAAAGCTTCGAGGAAGCACAATCTCATGAAGACAAAGACAAATGGATACAAGCAATGCATGATGAGATGGAGTCATTGCAGAAGAATCAAACATATGAGTTGGTCGAGCTTCCGAAGGGAAAGAAGGCATTGAGGAATAAATGGGTTTTCAAGCTCAAGAAAGACGGAAGTGAAAATGTGGTGAAACATAAAGCTCGTTTGGTAGTCAAAGGATTCCTACAGAAAAAGGGAATTGACTTTGACGAAATTTTTTCACCTGTTGTAAAGATGGCGTCAATTCGAGTTATTCTCGGATTAGTAGCCAGTTTGAATCTAGAGCTTGAACAGATGGATGTCAAGACAGCATTTCTTCATGGTGATTTATGTGAAGAAATTTATATGGAGCAGCCAGAAGGTTTTGAAGTTCCAGGAAAAGAGAACTTCGTTTGCAAGCTAAAGAAGAGCTTGTATGGTCTTAAGCAAGCACCAAGGCAGTGGTACAAAAAGTTTGACTCATTCATGGTGAGTCAAGGCTATAAAAGAACAGCTGCAGATCCGTGCGTTTATATTCAACATTTTTCGGATGGGAATTTCGTTGCTCTTCTATTGTATGTAGACGACATATTGATCGTTGGACAAGATGCAATGAAAATCGGCCAGCTGAAGAAGGAACTCTCCAAGTCCTTCGACATGAAGGACTTAGGCCCAGCTCAACAGATATTAGGAATGCACATAACTCGAGATAGGAAGAATAAGAGGTTATGGCTATCTCAGGAAAGATATGTTGAACGAGTGATCAAGAGATTCAACATGCATGATGCCAAGCCTGTCAGCATTCCACTGGCCAATCACTTCAAGTTGAGCAAGAAGTCATGCCCCTCATCCAAGAAAGAGATAGAGGAGATGTTGTTGGTACCTTATTCTTCAGCAGTTGGAAGCCTGATGTATGCAATGGTATGTACCAGGCCAGATATTGCTCATGCAGTGGGCATGGTAAGTCGTTTTCTCTCTAATCCTGGAAAGGAACATTGGGAGGCAGTCAAGTGGATTCTCAGGTACCTGAAGGGTACATCAAAGACATGTTTGTGCTACGGGGGAGCTGATCCAATCTTGGAAGGTTATACAGATTCAGATATGGCCGGAGATCTTGATAGTAGAAAATCTACTTCAGGATTTCTTTACACTTTTGCTGGGGGAGCTGTGTCATGGCAGTCAAGACTACAGAAGTGTGTTGCGTTATCCACAACAGAAGCAGAATATATTGCAGCAGTGGAAGCTGGTAAAGAAATGTTGTGGTTAAAGCGATTTCTTCAAGATTTAGGGATCAGGCAGAAAGAGTATAAAGTACATTGTGATAGTCAAAGTGCTCTGGATTTGAGTAAGAACTCAATGTATCATTCTCGGACAAAACACATTGACATCCGCTATCATTGGATACGAGAGGTGATGGATCAACAACTGTTGAAACTAGTAAAGATCCATACAAGTGAGAATCCAGCAGACATGATGACAAAGGTGGTTCCAAGAGAAAAGTTAGAGCTATGCAAAGACATAGCTGGGATGGATATCAAATAACAAATTGCGTCAGATGCGGCTGGAGGGGGAGAATTGTAATGTCCAGCCTTATTTTTCAGCCATTTTTTTGTTGACTAATTACCAACCACCAACCACCATATTTACTGCATCCTTTGGAAGAAAATCTACAACAGCCAACCACCATTCTCTTAGCAACCAACCACCCAAATTAATTGAGACTTGTTGAAAATCTCATCTCCCAGTGGCTATAAATAGAGCTTTAGCTCATTTGTTTTGACACACCCAAGTGAGGAAAGCAATAGAGATAGTAGAGAGAGTTTGAGAGGTTTTTTGATAAGAGTTTGTAAATTCTCTTGTAAAATTCTATTCAAGTAAGAAATAGAATAGTTTTTCCTCTTATAACTCCTCTTTCGTGATCGGAGAATCACAACAGATTGGTGAAGCGGCAAAGAATATGGCAGCAATTAATCCTGAGAGGACTATCTTTGATGTCAAGAGGCTAATTGGAAGAAAGTAAGACCTAGCTTCTTTCTTTCTTTTCTTTACTCGTGCTACATGTGACAAAGAATCAATATCAGGACTCTTTAACTCTTGCCTGCTGAATAGGTTTGAAGATAAAGAGGTCCAAAGGGACATGAAGCTTGTTCCATATAAGATTGTGAACAAGGATGGAAAACCTTACATAAAGGTCCAAATTAAAGATGGCGAGACCAAGGTTTTCAGTCCTGAGGAGATTAGCGCCATGATTCTTACAAAGATGAAGGAAACAGCCGAAGCATACCTTGGAAAAAAAATTAAGGATGCAGTTGTCATTGTTCCTGGTAAACTTCTAATTAATTGTTCGAGTCTTATTTACTTCGTTGGGCACCTGGCTCTTTATCTTATTGTAAAGTTTGCTTTATTTACATCGGTGGGCAACTTGCTTTTTGTCTTATACAGCTTACTTCAATGACGCACAGAGGCAGGCCACCAAAGATGCTGGCGTAATTGCTGGATTAAATGTTGCAAGAATTATCAATGAACCAACTACGGCAGCCATTGCCTATGGTTTGGACAAGAAAGGTGGTGAGAAGAACATTCTTGTTTTCGACCTTGGTGGTGGGACATTTGATGTTAGTATCTTGACCATTGATAATGGCGTTTTTGAGGTTCTGGCAACAAACGGAGACACACATTTGGGAGGTGAGGATCTTACTGCATCCACCCTAACATTTCTTTCATTTTCGTCCTAGCAAAAAATTAAGTGTTGTGAACCATTTGAAAGTCATTTTGACATCAGAGATTAAAATTTTCTTAATTAAACGTGCAGGTGAGGATTTTGATCAGAGGATCATGGAGTACTTAATTTGATCAAGAAGAAGCACGGGAAGGACATCAGCAAGGACAATAGAGCTCTTGGCAAGTTGAGGAGAGAATGTGAGCGCGCCAAGAGGTCTTTGAGCAGTCAGCACTAGGTCCGAGTAGAGATTGAGTCTCTCTTTGACGGTATAGATTTCTCCGAACCACTTACCAGAGCTCGCTTCGAAGAATTGAAAAATGATTTGTTCAGAAAGACAATGGGACCTGTTAAGAAAGCCATGAAAGATGCTGGCATGGAAAAACATCAGATTGATGAAATTATTCTTGTTGGTGGAAGCACCAGAATCCCAAAGGTTCAGCAGCTTCTAAAGGATTATTTTGATGGGAAGGAACCAAACAAAGGTGTTAACCCAGAAGAGGCAGTTGCTTATGGTGCTGTTGTCCAGGGAGGTATCTTGAGCGGTGAGGGGTTAACGGGTGTTCTTCGTTTGGATGTGGCTCTACTTACCCTTGGTATTGAAACTGTTGGCGGAGTAATGACCAAATTGATTCCAAGAAACACCGTAATTCCAACCAAAAAGTCCCAAGTCTTCACTACTTACCAGGATCAGCAAATCGCTGTTACCATTCAGGTAATCATCTTGGAATCAGGATTCTAGGGAGTGTGTATAAAAAGGATGCTTCGTCTTACCTGTGTAAGAAATCGCTGTAACGTGTATTAATGGTGTCAAACAGGTGTTTGAGGGTGAACGAAGTCTTACAAAGGACTGTAGGCTGCTAGGGACATTCGATCTAACAGGAATAGCTCCGGCCCCAAGGTTCTTATGCTCCCATGCTCCTTCCTATATTTCTATTAAAGCTTAACTTTATATGTCTTACTCAATAGATCTTGTTTGCTTGAACAAAGGAACTCCTCAGATTGAAGTTACATTTGAAGTCGACCCTAATGGCATTCTGAATCTCAAGGCTGAAGACAAGGCTTCTGCACGTTTCGAGCAGATCACAATCACAAATGACAAAGGTCGTCTGAGTCAAGAAGAGATTGATCGGATGGTCGAGGAAGCCGAGGAGTTTGCCGGGGAAGACAAGAAGGTCAAGGAAAGAATTGATGCCCGTAACAGCCTTGAGACATACATTTACAACATGAAAAACCAAATCAATGACGAGGACAAGCTTGCTGACAAACTCGAGTCAGACGAAAAGGAGAAGATTGAGACAGCAACTAAGGAGGCCCTTGAATGGTTGGACGACAATCAGAACGCCGAGAAGGAGGATTATGAGGAAAAGCTCAAAGAAGTCGAGGCCGTGTGCAATCCAATTATCACAGCCGTTTATCAAAGATCTGGTGGTGACTCGGGAGGCAAATCAGATGACGATGACGACGATGATTCTCATGACGAACTATAGAAGATTGTTAGGCTCTCTTGTTGTTTCAAGAGAAGTTTGTGATAGGTTGTGTAATTTATTTCTTTTTTTTATTTATTTCCTCCAACTAGAGAACGATAGATGCATTAGTATAATCCTTTGGTATACTTCATTTTTGGATGGTATGTACAGCCAGATATGCTAAACTCAAATTAAATTCATATTCTTATTATTAGTGCAATCTCGGTTTAGTACTTATTTTGACACAAAAAAGTAAGTTGCATTTCTTGTAAGTAAAAAAAGTACTTATTTTGACAATATTATAAAACAAAATATAGCAATAGCAACCACTGAAAAGTGAAAACATGTCAAATACGTCCCTCCCTCCCTCCCTCTCAAAACTGATTGTACATGTAATTAAGGAATTTAGCAACAGAATACAGAAGCAATTCCGCAATTTGCAAAACATAAGATCCTTGATCAAATCTATAGAAATAACAAAAACATATTCAGTCAGTTACATTAGCTTCACGTTGCATCCAAGGCCAGCTCGACTCACAAAGATCACCAGGCGAGTTGTCATCGTTGTCCTTAATCTTCAAGTTAGCATTGTGCTTCACAATTAACTCAGCTATGACAACTCTCTCACAAAGAGCAGCATAATGCAATGGTTTTGACCTTCATTGTCCTTTAGACAGACAGTAAGAAACGAGAGTTAACAATTTGATAGAAGTGCCAACTAAGCAAAAGAACTATTATAGAAAATTGCATGTTTGACGAAGCTTATAATCTTGTCAAATTCTATTTTTATCCAAGCGTTTCATACGACCCACAACTTTTTTCTATTTTTTAACCACACAACCCTTGGAACCGTCTGATAGGCCCTTTTTTCCCCTTGGAAAATGGAATTGAAATTTCATTTCTCACTTTTGCCATCTTTAATAGCCAAAATTTTCCATGGAAAATATTTTTCTCCCACCCCGCATGTGTCCCGTTTTTCCATTTTTTGTTGAATTTGTTTTCCCACCACTTTGGTAGGAAAATGGTTTCCAGCTTTTATTTATTTATTTATTTTTTGCAATGAAAACAAATTCTGTGGACAATTATTAAAAAAAAAATTCTTAAATGGACAATTTTCATGGAAAACAAAGTCAAACGAACACCAAAAGATCCAAAATTTTAACATTTTTCAGGTGAAATATTATACCAATCAAACACAATTAATGGACAATTCTCAGGAAAATAATTATAGGCAATTCAATTCTCAGTAATTCATTTTCTTTCCACCCAAATTTCACTCTTGCAATCAAATGGACCTTAGCCTTTTTTAGCTTGAATTCAAAATATACGAAAATCAAATGCTGCAAAACTTCTATACTATACAGATATATAGCATGGATGCTGCACACATTTTAATATTCAGATCTTGTATATAAAAGTTTAACTCCTAGCAGTATCCGTGACAAATGGTGTTACTATCCATAGATCTTTTAAGATAGAATGAATTAAAATTAATAAATTGTCTCTCAATTAGAAAAATTTGACGACGGGTGAATTTTAAACACGGGTAAATTTTAAAAGGGCAGAGAAGCTTATTCAGATGCTCCACTGCAAAATTCTTCGGTCCCTGTGCCCCAAGGCTCTGTAAACCAACATAAAGCCTCCAATATCCGACTCCAGCTATATTTTCAGGTTCTTAATAACGTAAGAGAGTGTTTTCCTTTTAATTTGTGTGCAGAGATATTAATTGCAGTCAGTTATCCAAAGTACAAAACAATGGACTCGGCAAGTGTAATCAAAACAAAGATTTTTTTGTCTACCTTAGCATTAACATCGGCATTGTTGTTCAGAATCAACTCTATAACATTCACATGGCCACGATCTACAGTCCAGTGTAAAGGAGTACGACCCTCACTATCTGTGGTAATGTCAAGTAAACAAGGTTCAGGTCAGAAAATCTCATTAGCTTCTAATGCAGGACTTTATCAACAAAAGAGAGTTTTTGCTGACTTATGAATGACAAGTCTTCATTATAGTGAACATTTTTATATATTTATACAATAAATATAATATGTGAAAGAAATAATTAATTAAGATGAAGTGGCCAACTGGTGAAAAGTGTGGAATTTGTGTGGGAGGTCAGGTGTTCGAGCCACGCCTCACGCACTATATTAGAAGA